CATCTCGCCCTCCATTTTTTTAAGTTTAGGGATAATTTACATGTAGTAAAAATACCCACTTTAACCATAGTTTGGATTTGGGCACTGACAGTTGTCCATAGTGCTGTGTCCATCAGCATGGTCCAGACGTGGACAGGTCCATTTTCCTAAAATTCTCTGACTGCTTGGCGGTGGTCACAGAGTACTTCTGAGGCTATAGTGTAGCCCTGCCCCCATTTTTTTTCTTTGATTTATACTAGATATGATATTAATGAATTTGAGGTATTATTTTCCCTTCTAATTCCTTTGAAAGTAAATGCATAATTTTTGTTGTCACACTTGGTAAGTGGACTTGCTTGGGCTTGATTAGACTTGTTTGAAAGCTGGGAACATTTTTAAATGACTGTAAAACAGTAGTTGCCAAATCTTAGGTTCTGAGATTGTTACTTTTCTACTGCAGTTTCCATCATTAAAAGGTTATTATAAATGACTTCGTAATAAACTTATCAGCAAATGATGGTTTATATCACTAATAACTGGATGTTAATTATTAATGACATCCATTGTGAGTATTTTTCAAACTATAGATTACATCAGTAATTGGGATGTCAAATCATTTCAGCAGGTCATGGGCAGCAGTTTTTAAAAAAGGAAATAGAGTAAAATTATAAATAGAATGTATCTGATAATAAGGCAGGAGGAGTCCTAGGTGTTACCTCATACTGAGTTGATGTAATTCTAGCCACAAGAGAAAATAAGTGATTTTTTTCATTAATCTAGGCAAATTTATAATTTCCTACTAGCTTTTTAGAAAATTTGAGACTTCTCCCTGACTCCTGAATTTTTTCTCCAACAGTTATAAGACCTTTAATCAATGATACTTTAGCATTGCCTGTGTGAAATTTCTTCTAATAATGGTAGAATATTGTAATATTCACAAGGACTAAAGGTGATGAAAATCAGTGAGTATAAGAATGACTCTTGGAAGATCATTTCTAAAGGGACAAGTGGTAAACCTTTCTTTACAGAATGAGCTGTCTCAGTTTTGAGACAATTATTTTACAAACAGTTGAATGGTTTTCCTCAGGAGCCTTGACATTGCATTTAGACACAGCACTCGTCTGTGTCGGATATGATTGAAGCCTACGTACTTAATCCATTCACAACACAGTAGAATCAATTGTAACTGAAACACAAGTCTGCAGTCTAATGACTAACAGTCTTATAATCGTTTCTGAGTTCTCAATAATGAACATATAAGGAGGAGTTTTATAATTAGAGTATATAGAGATACACACTCCAAAATGCTTTGTTGTACTTTTTTGGTCTGTTTTTTTGACAGCAGAATTGCTGTACGGCTCTTTAAAGCTTTGGGACCCAAGGTGTGAGGAGGCCCTATGAAACCAAGTCAGAGTTCTGAGTCTCTGAGCCCCTTTCCCTGGAAAAGGGTCTTCACCGCAGCACACTCAAGGTGTGCGCTGGCTTCTGCCCTGGGTGGGCTGCTGGCTTCAGCAGTCTGGGAAGAAAATGAAAGGACAGGATTACACACCCACTGCTGCAAACTGGGTGGTGGGAATCTGTTGGCTTTTTTGTTAACATAAAGACTTTGTTAAGAAGTTCTTTCTAGTAGGCCCAGGATTTTTAATCAGGTCATTTTATTCAAGAAGTAAGTAAGGAAAAACACTTTCAGGTATGTTTGTAGGTAGGAAAGGAAGTCTGTGTAGCAATACTGTGTGGTCTTTGGGTGTTTATTGGGTGCGGTGTACCAGCACGGTGGGTCACAAATTCCACATTAATGTTGTCTTGCGTTTTACCTGTTTAAACTCATAAATGGTCACCACTGTAACTTATGCATGGGCTTTGCTAGGTAGAATGATGGATGGTTTAAGACCTAAAATAAACATTTTAGTGATGGCTAGGGTAACTGTACTTCCTGGTTTACCTGGGACCAGCCCAACTCATACCTACTGTCCTGGCTTAATTATTAATAGTGCCCCTGTTCATGCTCAGAAATACCTGATTTGGCAGATAAGTTTATGGTATTCTAGTTGAGACTGTTAAATTTATGGTTATTTACTTGAGGCTGTTGTAATTTTTCCTATGGGAGACTCTTTTGATGCACTTTTAATCCAAATGAAAGCATTAATCAAGCATTGATTGCCCTTGAAGTGAAACTTTGGCTCTAATTATAATTTCTGAGTATAGAGCTTGTCCAAGGTATGAATTGCCTCACCTACTTACTTGATAAAATTGAGAAACAACGGTGCCCCATGGTTGGGGGCACAGGCTCTGGAGCAGTACAGACGCGAGTTTTTATTAAACTTGGGATCTGAACCAAACTAACCGTGTGACTCTAGGTCAGTCAGGAAGTAAACAGGGGAAGGTGTTGGTGAGCAGAATGCTGGGAATATGGTAAGCAGCCCAGGCCGTGGTCAGTCCTGCAGATCACCCATCTAGCTGTGCCTTTTCTGTGCCAGACCCAGTACTAGGTGCAGATGTTTTTAAGAATCTGACGTTCTCACACAGAATGCTGTTTTTAAATTTCCCTCAATATCATACAACGGTCTCTTTGTAAACACTAAGGAGTAAACATCTTTTATACACTAATCACTCATGTAGGTTTATATCTGACGGTTGCCCTGCCATGGCTTATTAACGTTATCACACAGCCACCATGCGGCACATTATTGCAGGTACTGGGGACACCAGATGTCAGTAAGAAAGTAGTGGCAGCCCTCAGAGGAAGCACATGTAGGCACAGTTTATTTGAAGGAGCCAATTAACAAATGCACAAATACACATTTTTCTGAGCGCATTCTTTGAGCTCAGGCCTAATATGCTGCAAGTAGGTAACACTTTGTCTTTCATAGTATCCTATTTTTTAATTATTTTAATTAAGTTTAATTTATATATATTTTACATCTTCATTCATTTTTGTATTCATAGCATCCTATTAACAACAAGCTCAGAAAGGTCTACAATATTGACACTGCTTCATTCTCACATTTACTTGGATTTGACTCTGTGTGATGATTTCTCTACCCACCACTGTACATTCCCCCCTGAAAAAGAGAATTGAGAACAATTTAAGTGTAAGCCACTCCTCTCAGTGAGTGTGTGCTCTAGAGCCCAGATGGGGCTGTGACACTGCAGTTCCCTCCAGCCTTGCATGGTGTGAGCGTCTTGCTGTCACACATGAGCCTGGCGTTTAAAAGTGTTGCTCATTTCTTCTTTAAGGGAACTACTTGGTCGATTTGTTTTAAAGATTTATTTATTTACGCGTACAAGAACTCGTGTGTAGGCCAGAGATCTGAGGGGTAGGGGGATTCACCAGAGACAAGAGTTGGGAGCAGAATAGGTAGATCCACTGAAATACACTGCTGAGGGGAGCAGCATGGGCAACTTGGTACAGGTTTGCTGCACCGTGTGTGTCTGCTCCCTGGCCGGGGAGCGAACTTGTGCTGCAGGGGCTGCTGATCGCTTGATAGTGCTGAGACTTCACCCCTTGCACCACCAGGGAGGCCCTGCTCTGTTGATTCTTAACTGAACATTTGTTCCAAGCGTATTAGAAAAATGAGTTGTGCTGCCCATAGAGCCAGAATGTTAACATCCAGTTTACCCTCTGAAGAGCTCTCAGAAGCAGTCTAGGACTTGAGCTGTGATCCTTGGTCCTATAAGAGAAGTCAAAACTATTAGAGTCGGAATTGCTGCCTTCAAGAAGTCTATAATCTCCCGCAAGGTGGGGCATCAACATGGGAAAGGTCATCTATAAACACGTCACAACCCAGGCTGCAGGGAGGGGCTGTGGCATGGCCTCAGTTTCAGGTATCCCTGTTCTCTTGTTCTCATAAATGTTTTTGTGAGGCAACGCTTTTTACTTAGAAGAGGATATGAAAATGACTTTATCCCTCAAGATTTCTAGCAAGTGTTCAACTGTGATTTGGTCGGTAGAGGCAGATGAGGGGCACAGGATGTCTCACGCAGGACAAGTTTACAAGCATAAAGCATGGAGGTGTTTGTAACAGGCAGGGCTGTTGATCTTTTCACTTGGCAGGATGAGGGGGGACACAGTGAAGCATCCCAGGAGAGAAGGGTGATGAGGAACAGGACCTGCGAACCTGCAGTTAGCAGATGGTCTTGCCCGGGACAGTTCCTCACCCTGCTGTAATCATTAACCGAGGGCACTGCGGCCCATTTCGATTGTTTTCCCACCCATTTCATAGTTACACTTCAGTTGTGGATGTTATGGGAAACAAGCTTTTTTAAAATGATTTTTTTTAATCTGGTATAAAAATCAGAGTGGATATGGCTACATGACTATTTGTAACCCTTTGTGGGAGTCACTGTAGCAGAGGAAGAAGTGGGCATCAGGAAATGGGACTGTCATTAGCTCTGTGACCTTACCTGACAAAAACATTTACCTCACCTCTGAAATGTTAGACCAAAATCAAAAGCTCTCATGCTACACTTTCTTTGTTCTTTTTCTTATCAGTGAAACATTTTACAAATGAAACTTAACTCAGAATCCTGTGGTATAAAACAGAACTGGCATACTTCATGGAAGACGGGGGACTGGAAGCCCAGCTGCCTCCCCAGCTCCTGCCCCCTTTGAGCCCTCACCTTCAAGAAGCTAAGATCAAGTCAGGGAGTTGTTAGGTTCTTCTGGGGAACCTTAACGCTCTGCAAAGCACTAGGAAATCCTTGGACCTAGGTTTCTAAGGCCCCTTCTAGAACTATTACTTTACATCAATAAGCAGAATAGAATTTCTTAAAAGAGGTAATGCAGCAGGTAAGCTGCTACTAGGTACAGTAGGCGACGGGAAGAGGAAAAGAAGGTAAATGCACTTAAAGTACATTTGAAGAATAAGATCAAAAGAGAATATCTGTGCTTTATAATAATAATGTATTTAATAATTAAAAGAACATGGATTTAGTTTAAATTTTGCATTTTTTGTGAATATTTCTGTACAGAAATATTAGAGATTTATTATCATTTGACCCATCTTTGATCTGTTTCTCAGATAGCAGACCCCACACTAGCCGAGATGGGGAAGAACTTGAAGGAGGCCATGAAGATGCTCGAGGACAGTCAGAGGTGAGTCTGGAGCAGCAGTAACGCTACTGGTCATGTTCCACATGCCCTGAAACCGGAGGCCCTGGTTTCCCTCTGTTGAGACATTTCAGAATGTGACACTTAGCTTCAGCTAATTTTAAAATTGGTATTTGTCTTGGGTAGAAGGTGCTTTGTAATTAGAGGATTTCAAAATTGAGGGGCAGAGCTGCCTATTAGAGTTACTTAATATATTGACTTAAACCTGTAAGGACGACTTGTTATCTGTTCAGGTCATTTAGGGACCAGTTAACCAAGAAATGAGTTGAAGTATTATTTTTGTTTTTCATGTTCTTTTCTCTTCTTGGAACTCAGTCTGTACCCCATCCTGAGAGCTGGGGTGTGGCGGGTAAATGGGCCAAATGTATTGCAAATCTGGCATCAGTCACTAAGAGGGTATAAGCAACATCAGCACATGTTTGCATGTTCAGATGTAGAAAGTTGATATGGTAAATCGTTTTTTATTTCCTTAAAGTAGAAGACCTGAGGAAGAAAATGGGAAGAAGCTCACATCAGGGGATATTCCAGGACCACTCCAAGGCAGGTGAGTGGCGCTCAGATAAGTACCTCCAGTCCAGATGTACATTTTTTCCCCTTTAATTTGATTTTTGATTCCTTTAATTCAAGTAGCATTACATTATGACATTAAAGTTTCAGATGTTGAGACTCAACATGTGTTTATACTACCTTAAGTTTGCTGCTAAAAATAAGTATGCTCTTACTATCTTTGATATTTTAATTTTAGTTTTAATGAGCATAGAACAGATTTAGTGTTACACGTAGTGTGACCTCAGAACTGAGAGGCGAGAGGATGGTGGGAGCCGATGCCACACTTGCTCCCACCTCACCCATGTGCAGTTAATGGAGCCTCCTGACTCAAACTGGATACGCACATGTGTAGTCACACTTAGTTCGTCCTGGAAACCTGTTGTCTGAACTTTATTGTGAATTATTTTAATTTGATAAGATTTATCATTTTGAAAATAGAGTAAAATAAGGGAAAATGCCAACTGTAACCACTTATTAGCAAAGTGGCTTCCTTTTGGGCAATTAAAGCACATCTATTAAGTCTTTTCAGTTTGAGCTCTGAGGAGAAATATGAGAATAATAAGTAGCTACCTGAGTAAAATTTTCACAAGATGTTAGCACTCAATGTGGATTTAATGTCTCAGCCTAACTTCCGTCAGACAAGATGATTTTTTTCTTTGTTTTACAACCAGGAAGCTGTACTGGGTAAACAGTGCAACTCCCTTAATTGTCCTTTGACCTGAATATAAATACGTACAGGTTGCAAAAGTAAGGTATGGAGGTAAGAATACAGTGTGCCAGTAAGTGTCGCATCTAACACACCCAGATACTAATATCTTTAAATTGTTGCTCCTTGGAGCCTGATGGTGCTGATTTGTGGCGCTCTCAGTGTGAAGTGTGTCCTGCAACTCAGAACAGGAAGCAAATCTTATAAATCTCAAATTCCGGCTTATGGGAAGGAAGGTTTCTGCTGATCCCCCAGAAGTTTCCCTAGAAGAGATACTTCTAAGAATATCTGTAGTTGTCAGAGTGGTTGGGGAGGGGCATTCTCACTTAGTAGTAGTGCCAGCTGCCATCCCAGAGAGCTCTGCCACGTGCAGCATTAGTGCTTCCCACATGCTGTCTGGCTGCATCTGTAAGGTAGGGGCAGGACATGCTTGCACAGCCCAAGACTGGAGCCCTCTTGTGAAGGTCAGCACTTTGGCAAGGTGCCTGTTGGGCCTGGTTTTGACAGTGTTTCTTTCCAAAAGGGAAAACTTTTTATTGGCCCTGCAAGTGGCCTTGCCATTGCTTATTCTAAGTTTTCACCTTTTATGTAATGAGCGTTAAGTTAACATATTGGACAAAAGTAAATCTGTTCTCACTGTGAACAGACCTGTAGTTTCCAGATGGACGATAACAAATACTTACATTGTATATGGAAGTCTGTCAGAACCCACAGACAAGATTCCTACATGGAGAGCAACCAGAAACCCCAGACGCTGTGGCATCTTGCTGCTTTCTTGGAATAAGTGACAGTTCTGTGGCCTACCAGCAACTTGTCCGTTTAGCTTTTATAACAAATTTATTAAACATCCTTCACAATTCATATTAACAAGGAGAGAAATATTACAAAAGTCCATACTGGCAAAATTTTTCAAAATCAGAGTCATATTTAAATAGTAGATAGATATAATCACAAGGTTATATTCAGAACTTAAATAATTTAAGGTTTGGTTTTTAAAGGTGTGTACTGTAACTCACACCCGTGATTTTTCTTGTAGTTACTCAGTAGCAAAAACTTCTCAAACTTACTTTATATGAGAGAAACAGTGGGACTTAGGGTGCTGCTTCTACCAGCCCATCTACTCTTTTTCATTCTGCAGTGGACAAGATATGGTGAGCATCCTTCAGTTAGTCCAGAATCTGATGCACGGTGATGAAGAGGAGGAGCCCCAGAGCGCCCGGTATGGAGAATGACTGACAATTTCTCCTTGAAACTATCTGTGTTTTTGATTTTCATAGTGATTGCATTTGTACAAGTTGCTGAAATAATAGTCTGTACGTATTCATATTTGCATATGATTTCAAAACTCTCATTTTCTTGTCTGAGAGACCGGTATGTCAGATAATATCTTTCGTAAAAGAAAGGCACTTACTAAAGCTAAATCCTAGTTTTCATGGGCACAGGGGTCAAAGAATGACTGCTCTGTGTTTGCCTGCTTCTGATTGCTCAGAACCGCAGCTGCTGACTGGTGGAGGCCGTGTGGCGGTGAACCGCCCATCTATTTATTACACATTTATCAAGCTGTATCATTTTCTCTTTGTTTTAAATTTAATTTCTTGGATAAGCAGTGCATTCTCCTGATTGAAATTTCAAAAGCTTAAAAGGCAGTTTTTCTTCTTGCTGCTGCCTTCATCCTTCTTCTCCCCCTAGAGGCAGGCACCATAGCCATTTTCTCAAGTGTTCTTAAGAGAAGTTTTCTGTGGATGTAGATACTTTGGCAGAATCTGTACCCACTCCGCCCATCTGTAAACACTGCGTCGCGCTCTGTCTCGGAGCTCATCGCACGTCAGTGCACCAGCGCTTTCTCCTTTAAGGACTGCTTACTTTTTCTTGGACTGCATGAACCATATTTCACCTAGTTTCCTCTTCCTGTTCTACTTTTACAAACATTGCTCCAGCTACTAACATGTAATTTCTCAAAGTTGCAAATATTGCTGGAGATGAAAATTCTAGCATTGGGGTTGTTAAGTCAGATAGTTTGTGCATTTGTGGTTTTAATAGATTGCCAAATTTTCCTCCATGTACAGTTAACACTTCCACCAGCAAAGTGTGAGAGATCTCTTTTCCCACACCCTTATTTGCAGGGGAATTATTAGACTTAAGAATTATTGCCAGTATGATAGGTGAGAAATGATATTTCAGCATACTGTTCATTTGCATTTTTATTATGAACCAGGTTAAGTTATTTTTGTATCAATAATACCAATTATTGTTCTCCTCCTCTGACCTGCCTACTTTGTCCAGTATCCTATTTGGGTGATTTTTTCTTATGGGTTCTTATGGGTTTATAGTTGTTCTTTATTAGAGAAATAAGTCCACCTATTTTAATTTTATTTACATGTATATATATAATAAGACTATATATATAGTTCCCCTTGATAATAACTAGTTCCCCTTGAATTTGTTATAGATAACTATTTGATTTTTCAAAATATTTTTTCTACATATTTTATCTCTACCTTCCATAGTTCTTATGGTTGGCATTTTTTTTTAAATTAGGAAAAAATTGTTCAAATATAATTTGTAAATTTAGATGGTATTTAATGGAAAGGATATTTATCTTCTAGGACTCAAAATGTTTTAATATTTTTCTCTCAAACTTTTAATGCATTGGATTTTCTGCTTTCTAAGCCATTAAGTGGATTTCAAGTCTGACAGAAATTTCTGTGTGATACTGTTTCTCTAAACTGTATTTCTTTGTTTGTGCTTTGACTAATACTTTTTCTTTATGAATTTTGATTGACAGAATCCAGAACATTGGAGAACAAGGTCATATAGCTTTATTGGGGCATAGTCTGGGTGCTTATATTTCTACTCTCGACAAAGAGAAGCTGAGAAAACTTACAACTAGAATACTTTCAGACACTACCTTATGGCTATGCAGAATTTTCAGGTAAAGACTTAAAAAACTTTCAGTTTTTGCTAGACATTTATAAATGAATTCAAATCTTCTCCTACTTCCTCTTAGAAGTGTTGCTTACACTCTCAGGACCTCTGTTTCCTTATTATATTAAATGGGAATAGCACTAATAGCTATGCCATTAAATAAATGTTGGGCTAAATATGCTAGTGAATTAATGTAAAAAGTGGAGAACAGAAGCCACATACTGGTTGAATAATGTCAGCAGTTATGTATTTGTAGAATTCCTGATTGTTATCTGTTGACAGAAGATAGGCATGGATTCAGGTAGTTTTTAATTAAAATATTAGCTTGTGCTGTTTGGAACGGAAGTGCTGTCCCAGTGAGGATGTGTTATGATACTGAAATTTGTTTTGTTCTATAATATTAGCAGTATTAAGGAATCCTGGCAGATTCAGGATTCAGCAGAAGGCCCAGAGCCGGCTGTATTTTTGTGTTCATGCTGTTCCTTTTATGGAAAGGAATGTTTGCCTAACATGGGGACATTTAACTTAGGAGAGACTCACTTTCAGATGGGGGGAAAGAGCTCGGCCTGGCAAAGGCTTAAGTTTATTTGACTATAACAAGAGAAATTTCTTCTGGTTAAAATCCAACACCTGTTCTTGAAATTCTCTCTACCTCCTTGTCTAGGAGATTAAGAAGGATAAAATGTCCCAAGTAGAATAGTGAAAATTAAAGTGAGCCTGACTAGTGTTTTTAACTATTTTATTTACTTTGAATGTCTTAGGGCTGAAACACCAAGATTTCTTTTTCTTTTTTGAAAGATTTCTTTATTTGTGCATACAGAACTAGGGTAGTACAGGCCAGAGGTGCAGGGGCAGTGAGAGGATTCCCCAGAGACAGATTGGGGAGCAGGACAAGGAGATCAATGAAGTCCATTGCTGGGTGGAGCAGTGGATGAGACAGGAGAGGTCTGCTGCGCCATGTGGGTCACCTCCGCAGCTGGGGATTGAACTCGAGCTAAAGTGGCTGCCACTAACTTCACAGTGCTGTGCTTTAACCTGTTGTGCCACCAAGAATTCTGTCTGCACTATCCTGCTCATGGAGTAAGCCAGACCGTGACCTCCAGTGTTTTGCTATCTGAGGGAGTCTTGTTCTTTACTGCTTCCCATAGTTCTTGCTGTCTATGGAAATGTGTATAGACAAGGATCATCACCTTTGTTCTTTATAAGCCCCAGCTGTAGTGAGTGGCCAGCTGTCTGAGATGAGGGTGTTCTCATCCTTCTCCTTTGGCTGATCTAAGTGACAATTTCTAGGCAGAGAAAAGAAATATACCAGGATCCTAAGACTGGGGTAGAAAATCAGAGTCATTGGCCCTTCTTGGTGGTGCAAGAGGTTAAAACACCACACTGTGAAGCTATCCGCAGCCACTGCAACATGACTTCAGTCTTTGTTCAGGGAGCTGACCCACATGGCGCAGCAGACCTCTCCTGTCCTGCCCGCTGCTGCCCTCAGGAGTGTATTTCACTAGATGTGCCTGTTCTGCTGCCTACTCTGTCTCTGGAGAATCCTTCCCCCCACGACCTCTGGCCTGTACCCCAGTTTTTGTATGCATAAATAAATAAATCTTTAAAAAAATGAAATAAAATCAGAGTAAACCAGAAGTAAGAACATACTGATGTGCGAGTGTCACTTCACAGGTATGAAAATGGCTGTGCTTATTTCCATGAAGAAGAGAGAGAAGGACTTGTGAAGATCTGTAGACTTGCCATTCATTCTCGTTATGAAGACTTTGTAGTGGATGGATTCAATGTGTTATATAACAAGAAGCCTGTTATATATCTTAGTGCTGCTGCTAGACCTGGCCTGGGCCAGTACCTTTGTAATCAGGTAATGTGATAAAAGTGAATTGTTTAAAGAAACAGTGTGTTACTCTGTCCTGACACTTGATGAAATGTGTAGCTACTCCTCAGGGTGAAAACAAAGGTGTTTTTTACATGCTTGTTTTTTCATTATAAAAAATACATAACTATATATTCATGAGTTTAGGTACGTATTTTTTTAGTTGCCCAAAGGCAACCACAATCAACATTTTATTTCTTTCTAGACTTTAATCAGATTGTAGGTGTGTTTTTACATGGCTAAAGACAACTTTTTCTACTTACTATTATAACAGGTGCATATCATGTTTTCACAGTTCTTCAGAGTAAAGTTTATTTTGATGGTCTCCCATAATATTCTTTCAAGTGAATGTGCAGTATTGTAACTGTTTCCCTTTTGAACAGCTCGAAGTCCCCTTCTTTTGCTTTATCTGATCATTTCAGGTGATGCTTTCTGTACAGTGGTATGAACATCTGTGTGCATAATGTTTTTTCATATTTTCAGAGTCAGTCTAGAATTACTAGATCAAAGAGCATCACCATTTCAACAGGTCACAGTGCAAGTAACCCACTGAAAGGACTATGGGAACTATGTTGAGATAAGAAATTAAGCTTCTTGGCCAAGAATGTTCTAAGGCAAAACCCATAGATTGTTGGATTTGTCTTTTATAAAATGGGTCCTTGGGAAATGTGTGGGCTTCGTTTGAGCCCGGATGTGAGTGAGTGAGAAGGGCTGGGGCAGAGCCAGCATGCAGGAAATGGTCACTCCCTTGCTCTTAAACCTGTATGCGTGATTTGATTCATCTATGTTATATCTAGAAAAATAGTCACATAAATGCGTGATTTTATACCTAAAAAATGTCTAGGTTACATATTGAACTGTTAATAGTGGGGGTTTAGAAAGGGAGGCAAACCCCAAAGGGGCATTTTCATCTTTATTGTATATATGTATATGTTGTGTGTGTGTGTGTGTTTTAAATTTCACTTTAATGATTTAAAAGAAAATCCTATAAGGGGAAAAAGCACGAAGTTATTAACTAACTTTTTGTCTTTAATGCTACTGCATCTTATGCATATCCATAGCATTGAATTCGTTTCTCTTAAGAAATTTACATCTGCCGGTCCATATTTACTGCTTTTTGGGGGTGGGTTGTCCTAAAATAAAAAATTGTTCTTTGAATCCTTTAGTGATGTTTCTTGCCAGTAATACTTGGAGGAAGGATCCTAAATACTTCATAAAGTGCTCAGAATTCAATTTTTCCTACTTGGAAGAATTTTTGTTTTCTGATATATTCTTGAATATACCAAAGATACTTGACTCACTTACAAAATTTTACCTGTGTCCTTATAAGATATCCTCCTAACTCTTGGAAATTCATCCTTTTTTTTTTTTTTACTGTCTAGATATACTTTAACATCTATTTACAAATATTAAGAGTTCCTTGAGAGTTTTTTTTTTTAAGAGTATTTATGACTTAGAGCCACAGTCTTTCAGGATTGTGAGGGAAAGGCGACAGATATCTTTCTCATAGAGCTACATGTTTCTTCTTACAGCTCGGCTTGCCCTTCCCCTGCTTATGCCGTGTGCCCTGTAACACGATGTTTGGATCCCAGCATCAGATGGTGAGCTTTCTTGGCTTATGTAGTAATATTTTGAAATGTTCTTCCTTTCAACTGAAGCTATGTTTGCTGGCCTCTAGCTAACTATTAACTTATTCATTTGTTGCTTTGATCTTCCCATAGCAATAGTGCTTCTGTATTTGAATGTCCATGAAGGTTGGCTGGCATGTAGGATAGGTGCTCCAATTCTTTTGTTTTGTTTTATTTATTTGTGCATACAGAACTGGGGTACAGGCCAGAAATGCAGGGGTGGTGAGAGGCTTCACCAGAGACAGAGTGGGGAGCAGAACAGGCAGATTGTCACAGTACACTGCTGAGGGGAACAGTGGGCAGGTCAGGAGAGGTCTGCCACGCCATGTGGTCACCTCCAGGGCAGGCAGGGATTGAACTCATGCGGAAGTGGCTTTAGCTTCTTCTTTTTTTTAAAGATTTATTTATTTATTCGCACAGAACTGGGATACAGGCCAGAGATGCGGAGGGTGAGAGGATTCACCAGAGACAGAACGGGAAGCAGAACAGGCAGATCGACGAAGTACACTGCTGAGGGGAACAGAGGGCGGGTCAAGAGAGGTCTGCCACGCTGGGGCAGGCAGGGCAGGCGGGAATCGAACTCCTGAGAAAGTGGCTTTAGCTTTAACCCGCTGTGCCACCAGGGAGGGCCCAGTGCTCCAATTCTTAAGCAATTTTGCAGTCAGTGTCACCTGCTTTAAGGAGAAATGTGGTATCCAGTTAAAAATGAGGACAGTGGCCTCTTTGGTGGCTAGGGGGCTTAAAGCGCAGCACTGCAAGGCTGTCTGCAGCCACTGCAGCACAAGTTCAGTCCCCAGCCAGGGAGCTGACCCACATGGCACAGCAGACCTCTCCTGTCTTTCCAGCTGCTCCCCTTAGGAGAGTATTTCAGTACATCTGTCTGATCTCTTCAGCACTCTGTCTCTGGTGGATCCTCTCACCACCACCACCCCCACATCTCTGGCCTATACCCCAGTACTTGCATACATAAATAAATAAATCTTAAAAAAAAAAAATCCATTAAAGCCCATACTTGGAGGTGGTACCACTGTTGACTGTACCTATGATTGGGCAGATTTTTTAAATCTTCATTGTAGTCTTGGGATTGAATTCTATTTAATTTTAGATATAAAAGTGATAAACCTCTCTGTATTGACACCAGAAACAAAAGGGATGGAATTTAAAATTCTGCATTCCTTTTTACAAGGTAATTTCATTTCTTCAGGTATTTCTTTTTTTTAAAGATTGATTTATTTATGCATGCAGTACTGGGGTACAGGCCAGAGATGCAGGGGAGTGAGAGGATTCACCCGTGACAGAGTGGGGAGCAAAACAGGCAGATTGATGAAGTACACTGCTGAGGGGAGCAGTGTAGAGGTCTGCAGCGCCATGTGGATCACACGGGGATCGAACTCGCACCAAAGTGGCAGCAGCCAGCTTTGCAATGCTGCACTTTAACCCACTGCAGCACCAAGGAGGGCCTCTTTAGGTATTTCAATGAGTAATAATAGAAATACATTCTTGGTGGCTTTCTGGGAGTTGTGAGAATATTTTCTTTGAATATAAATGTTTAAAAGCAGAGAAATGTTGGTTCTGTATATGCAGTTTTAAAACTTAATCTCCTATAACTGATTTTCCTATTCATTCTTCAACGAAAGCTTTGATTTTCACTCCTATGACTATGAGAGAAAACAGCAAAGTTGTCAAGAATTGATATGAGTGATTAATTTTGAGAGTTATGTGCCTCTGTTAGAAGTTTCATTATATAGCTTTTACACTGTTACCTCACGTTTTGTGGTTTCTTTTTATCCTTCTAGGATGTTGCCCTCCTGGAGAAACTAATTAAAGATGATATAGAACGAGGAAAACTGCCACTGTTGCTTGTTGCAAATGCTGGTAGGTATCATAAGTCTCAGGGAGAAGTTAGGTACATAGCCTAAAAAGCCCAAGTCTTAGGAACCATTTGTGTACCTCCTATTATAGGTGGTCTGTATCAGCATTGTGGAGAGAATTGGCAAATTAGAGCCACTTAAGTGTTGGTTTGTTTTGGAAGTTATTTTATTAATGTATGTATGTATACTCAAATTAGATGGAAATGTGGAAGATTTAGGGATAGCCAAAATAATTTTTAAAAAGAGCATAATTAATTGGATGGTTTACCCTCGCTGATTTTTGGCCTTACCATAAACTATAAGTAATCCAATTGGAAAAACATGGAAGCAGCCCAAATGCCCAAAAGTAGATGACTGGATAAAAAAGATGTGGTACATATACACAATGGAATATTACTCAG